GATGCTCGGGCATGGGGGGTGCTTATGCATGGGAGGGATGCTCGGGCATGGGGGGTGCTTGTGCATGGGGGGGATGCTCGGGCATGGGGGTTGCTTGTGCATACCGGGGATGCTTAGGCATGGAAGTGATGCTCAGGCACGGGGGGATGCTCAGGCGATGGGGGGGTATGCTTGGGTCTGTGTGGGGTGCTCGGGCATGGTGCGGAGATGCTTGAGCACAGGGGGTGTTTGGGCCTGGTGGGGGGAGATGCTTGAGCATTGGGGGTGCTTTTGCATGGAGGCAGATTCTTATGCTGGGTGGCAGGGGTCAGTCATGCCCAGCAGTGTGTGCTTGGATCCATGGGAGTGAGGGTGATTGGGCCAGTGGGGTTGTTCATGCAGAGGGGGGACACTTTGGGTGCCTGGCAGGTGCCCCAAAGTGGGGGGGAACGTGCATGCCTGGGGGGTTCCCATGGAGAGGGATGCAGGCACCTGCTGCCTTCTGCCCCACACAGTTGAGGCTGGGCACAAGGCCCCGATGTGGGTGCTGCATGGGACACCCAGCCCATGCCACGCTCGGCTCCTCGCAGGGGCTTCAGCTATGTGGACCTGGTGGAGGGTCTGCGGGACGGACGCTTCTATGCCCTGAAGCGCATCCTCTGCCATGACAAGGAGGACCGCCAGGCTGCCCTGCACGAGGTAGAGATGCACGGCCTCTTCGACCACCCCAACATCCTGCGTCTGGAGGCCCACTGCATGGTGGAGAAGGGCACCAAGCATGAAGCCTGGCTTCTCCTGCCCTACGTGAAGGTGAGGGGGGCTCCCCTGGCCACCCCCACCCCATTGCTGCCGGGAGCAGCAGTGGTGACCGGCTGCTTGCGTTTGCCAGGGGGGGACCCTCTGGAGCAAGGTGGAAGCACTGCAGGAGAAAGGGACCTTCATGTCAGAGCAGCGGATCCTTCTCATCCTCCACGGCATCTGCTGCGGGCTGCAAGCCATCCACAGCAAGGGCTATGCGCACAGGTGGGGAGCCGGCAGCCCCGGCTGGGGGGGTTGGCAGGCGCCCCAGTGGGCATTCAGTGACGTCCATCCCCACAGGGACCTCAAGCCCACAAACGTGCTGCTGGATGAGGATGACCGGCCTGTGCTGATGGACCTGGGCTCCATGAACCAAGCTCACATTGAAGTCAACAGCTCTCGGGAGGCCATGGCCGTGCAGGTGGGTGCCCTGGGACATCACCCCACCAGCCCATTCCTGCCCTGAGCCCTTCATCCCTACCCTCACCCTCCTCTCTGCAGGACTGGGCTGCCCAGCGCTGCACCATCTCCTACCGTGCCCCTGAGCTCTTCACGGTGCCGAGCCAGTGCGTCATAGACGAGCGCACAGATATCTGGGTAAGGATCCAGCCCCCCAGCCCCCAGCCCTCCACCGTGGGGCTGCCCTGACCCCACCATGCTCCAGTCCCTAGGCTGTGTGCTGTACTGCATGATGTTTGGGGAGGGCCCCTACGACGCCATCTTCCAGAAGGGCGACAGCGTGGCTCTGGCAGTGCAGAACCCCATCGCCATGCCCCCCACGACCAGGTGAGGAGCTGGGGAGGGCGACCCTGCTCCCAGGCAGCCCCCTGTGCTGTGTACCATGCAGGCCCCCCCTCGCTGTCTTTCCTCCAGGTACTCGGCTGCCTTGCAGCACCTGCTCTCCTCCATGATGACGCTGAACCCCCAGGAGCGGCCCAGCATAAATGACGTCCTCCACCAGCTGGAGGGGCTGCAGCCAGCGCCGGTGGGCCAGGACACCACGCAGATCTGAGCCCGTCCCACCCCGTGGTGGCGATGTGCCCTGACGATGAGCCAGGGGAAAAGCAGCTGCCTTCGTCCCTGCTCCCCCGTGGAGCCGTTGCAGAGGCGATTGCCGCACTCGGGGAGAGATGCTGCTCTGTGCCAGAGGTGTGTTGGGTTTGGAGTGATCTGTGCCCTGGATGCTGCTGCCTGGGACTTGGTCTGTGCCCCAGAACTGTGGACATGTGACCTGCTGCTAAACACGGGGCCCTCGCCGGCTGCTGCCTCCCCTGGGGGTTGCAGAGGAGGATGCTGTGGGATCCCCCAGGTGACGGCAACCGTGGCCCTGCAGCTCTGCACCCCAGGAGGGTCACTCCTGCCCGGGGCAGAGCTGCAGTCTGGGTCCCAGTGTGGTGCTGGAGCAAGGTGGGGAGGACCCGGCACTCGGTCCGCCACTGCTCTCAGCGCCAACGTTGCCTTGTGTTCGGAGTAAAAGATGTTCTTGCGGAGGTGTGGATGTGTCCCTGTCTGCGGGGAGGGGATCCCAGCAGGGACAGGAGGACAGCAGGGCACGCTGTCTGGGTTGAGCCACCAAGCGTTGCCAGAGGGGAAGGGCAGCGGAGGACAGCCCCGGTGGGGCAGCGCGGAGCATTAGCAATAAGCAGGGAAAGTTAATCCCTGGCCCCAGCGTGCTCCTAATGGGAGTTAACACAACTCTGCAGCTGGAGCCAGGCGCCGCTGTTCGCTGTTCGGAGCCTCCGGGGCTGGGCACTGCGGGAAGGGGGCTCAGCACAGCGCAGGCAGGCGGTGGCAGGGGGGAAGGGACAGCAGCCCTGCTCCGGTGGGGGCGAGCAGAGCCTGGGGATGGCACAACCACCCTTGGCTGGAGAGGCTCACTGGGACACACAGAAGTTGAGCTGCCCGCAGAGGGGGGGGTAAAAAAAGAGATGCAGACAAACGGTTTCACAGGGAGGGTTCCCCTCCTTTAATCCTCTCACCACAACACAGCAGAAAAGCAGCTGCGGGGGTTCATGCCGTGCTGGAGGCCCTTGCGGGGTGCACCCACTGTACCGCAGAGCCAGGCATGCCCCTTGTCCTGCACCGTGGCCACAAGGACAGGGGTGCCAGGCTGCTCCCACTGCTTCAACCACTCTCCTTCCAGAGAAGCCCACCTACTCTCTGGCTGCATGTGGGAAGAGTCCCAGCAGCTGCGGATTTTTTCCTGCCCAGGCTAAATCTGCTCCCCTGGGCTCCAGGATACAACGCGGGGCCATATACCACACGAGGAAGCAGTACCCACCCCTGGCTGGAGCAGCGAGCGGGGTGGGATGTGTGCCACGGCCCCAAGGGCTCTTACCTGCGTGGGGAGCAAGCCGGAGTTGGAGCAGAGCGCTGGGAGGAAGCATAGCAGCACCAGCAGCAGAGCTGAAGCACTCACCACACACCTGACCTGGCAAGAAACCGATACGGCTGGGGGGTTAGTGGGAGACACGGAGGCTCTGAAACGGTTTATTGCAAAGGATTTCTGCAGGTAACATGGGGAAGGAGCACGGTCCTTTTTGGCAGGGGCTTCTCTACTCCTCGCCCTCCTCTTCGTCCTCATAGGAGTCCAGGCCCACCTCCTCGTAATCCTTCTCCAGAGCGGCCATGTCTTCCCGCGCCTCAGAGAACTCCCCTTCCTCCATGCCCTCGCCCACATACCAGTGCACGAAGGCTCGCTTGGCGTACATCAGGTCGAACTTGTGGTCCAGGCGAGCCCAGGCCTCGGCGATGGCCGTCGTGTTGCTCAGCATGCAGACGGCGCGCTGCACCTTGGCCAGGTCCCCCCCCGGCACCACCGTGGGCGGCTGGTAGTTGATGCCCACCTTGAAGCCCGTGGGGCACCAGTCCACAAACTGGATGCTGCGCTTAGTCTTGATGGTGGCGATGGCGGCGTTGACGTCCTTGGGCACCACGTCCCCACGGTACAGCAGGCAGCAGGCCATGTACTTGCCGTGGCGAGGGTCGCACTTCACCATCTGGTTGGCTGGCTCAAAGCAGGAGTTGGTGATCTCGGCCACCGAAAGCTGCTCATGATAAGCTCTCTCGGCTGAAACCACGGGGGCGTAGGTGGCCAGGGGGAAGTGGATGCGCGGGTAGGGCACCAGGTTGGTCTGGAACTCGGTCAGGTCGACATTCAGGGCCCCGTCAAACCGCAGTGATGCTGTGATGGATGAGACGATCTGGCTGATGAGTCTGTTCAAGTTGGTGTAGGTCGGGCGCTCGATGTCCAGGTTCCTGCGGCAGATGTCGTAGATGGCCTCGTTGTCCACCATAAAGGCACAGTCTGAGTGCTCCAGGGTGGTGTGGGTGGTGAGGATGGAGTTGTAGGGCTCCACCACGGCCGTGGAGACCTGCGGGGCCGGGTAGATGGAGAACTCCAGCTTGGACTTCTTGCCATAGTCAACGGAGAGTCGCTCCATCAAGAGGGAAGTGAATCCGGAGCCAGTGCCACCTCCAAAGCTGTGAAACACGAGGAATCCCTGGAGTCCTGTGCACTGGTCAGCCTG